GGGCAAGTTGGATGTTCATGATATTCACTCTCCAACTTGAGGAGGAGTGTTGAGAAAGTTAACAATCATACAAGATATTTGCCTAGATTAACATACAATCAACGTTGATTTGAGCAAATATGTTGGAATGATTACCTTTTTACTTAGTGTTGATTGTAGCAATTAGCTAGATATTTACTTGGGAACTTTAACGAAAAGCTCCCAGTATTGTTCACTTTAACGAAAAACCATATTTTTACACTAAAAAGTCAATCCTGGTACTATTCAATTTACCCTTTATTTTATCTTTATCGTTAAAACTCAAAGTTTTCAAGCCCTTTTCACTAGTTTTCCTTATTTACTTTCCTATTTTGTATCAATTGTATAAATCATAGGAGTCAATTATAGGGTTCCTTCTTATAAATACTTGTATATTGTAACATTGGAAATGATCAATTAAAGAAATAATCAACATATTAAATTTAATTCGGTCAAGCTCTGTTAACATGTCCTCTACCAATAACTGGAGAAATTGGCTAGACAGAAGTGTGAGTGTGACATATGAAATCTATGTTGTGCTAGGATAGCACCAAACCCGTTGGAACCAACTCAAGCTAACCCACAGGAAATTTATCAAATGAAAGGCAAGAACAAAATATTAAAGACACCAAGATTTTAACGAGATTCCTCAACAGTCAGTGTAACTGGAGTACGTCCTCGAAGCAGTAAGAGCTCACCCAATAATCCACTATCAACCAAATGGGAGTTTACAAAGTGTTGGCAATCTCACAACCCAAATAACCCAATACACCCAATAACTCTCACTCACCAAAGAAACAAATAGAGAGGGAAATATAGTGAATAATTTCCTCTCTATACAAAGCTCAAAGCTAATACACAAATACAATTTTGATTGAGTGAGTACCAACAAAGAAAGAAATCACCTTTCTTTCTTCTCTTTCTGCTCTCAGTTTTCTGCTCTCTGCATCTCTCTTTGCTCTCTCAAAGATGGGCTACTAAAACTGAAAATTAGTGCACTCATCCTCTTCTCTTTTCTTCTCCGAAACCAAACATATTATGGCTTTGAAAAAGCCACAAAACAAGCCATAAAACAAGCCATAAAACAAGGAAACATAATCATGTTGTCCTTTGCTTTTTTTTTCTTTATAATTTTTTATAGCCAAAAGTTGGCCACTTGGCCACATACTCCAACAACCGTCTAACTGGCTAAGAAATATAATCACAGTTAATAAAGCGACCTTAATCCCTGATCTATGTTTCCAAACTTTAACAAAAGGCATATTTTTATCATAAATAAATCACTTTATTTTATGGTTACATAAAGAAGCAAGCATACAAAAATACATGGCTGATGAATTATACTTACAGACCCAATTTTGATGAATCGTTGAAAGAGGTTCCTGCAAGGGTATTTTGGTAAGTTCACTCGTATTTTTGCGAATCCCAGCGAATAAATTGGCGGCTCTGGTTAGCGGATAAAGTACTCGGATTTGAATTTGAAGCAAAAACGGGGATATTATGGAATTCAAAATGTAAGGGTATTTTGGTAAGTTCACAAATGGAAATATTTCTCCACTTTGGACACCACATGACTGACACGTGGCACCCCATTTCTGGTGCCCTTTTCTTTTCCTCTCCGTGATCTCTCCCTCGAGAACTTTCTCGTGTCTTCTCTCTCATCTCTGTCAACTCTCTCTCTCTGCCAGTTCAACAAAAAGCGCCACCACTCACTGCCTTCTCTAGCGAGTTTCGCCATAACACCATCGTAATTAGGAAGCAACCTGGGAAAAATTTCCCAGATTTCCAGAAAATAAGACCCGTGACCATTTGACCATTTTCAAACCAAATTTTCGGCCAACTCCGATCTCTGTTGGGCCTCCTAAGGGTATGACTCTCTTCTCTAGATTTCTAACTTCATTATGGATTTTTAATCATCAAGTTTGGTTAAGAATTGAATTAGAAACTAGCTATGAAAGTTGGGAAGAAGTTTCCAAAATTTTGGAAAGTTTGGTTGTGACCATCAGGCCACTTTTAGGTTGTTTCCCCGTTCAACTCCGGCCACGATTGGACCCCGAAATAGTATAAACATTTTTCCCACATTCCTAGTTTCTAGTTGGCTTGTGAATCATTGAATTTGGTTAAGTATGGAGTTAGAAATTAGCCTTGGAAGTTAGGATGAAAACCAGCAAAATTATGACCTTCGCGAGGAAGGCGAGTACTGGTGTACCGCGGCGCGTGAGTCGTGTGGGATGCCGGCGCCTTTAATTTTAAAAATAATAATAATAATCCTCCCTTCCCACTCTCACATTCTCTCTCACTCTTTTGCTCTCTTCTGCTCTCCTTAAAAAAAAAAACATTAAATTCACACACACTTTGTGCATGGCTATATTCTAGTAAATTTTAAATAAAAGTTTAGTAATTAAAAAATTGCTAAGAAATAACCGCTTCTTACTGAGAAGTTAATGGCTTTTTATGTTGAATTTATTCTAAATATAAAATTAAGCCAATTTTTTTTTTAAAAAGAATAAAGTATCCAAAAAAAATCAAATGCAAAAGAAAAAGGCTAGTAATAAAATAAGGGTAGATATATTCACACATATTTTTTCCCTCTCACATATTCTTATTAATTTTGTCATTTGATATTCTTCAAATTATTCGATTCAACTGTCAAAAATCGAAAAAAAATGTGTGAAAAGAAAAATGATTGTCTGGATAACACCATCCTAAAATAATTCTTCAACGTATTGGAAAATTCAAATACCAATTGGACTGACCTGGTTTTAAATTTTTAAAAGGCCCATCAGAATGAGTCCAAATAGGCCCACGGCCCGCCAGCATTATTATTATTTATTTATTTTTATTTTTCGTCAAAAGAAAATCCCATTTCATGAGTTTAGTTTGTAAGGGTGAAGCCATCGTGATTAGAATTCAGCAGCATAAGCTGTTCATGACGGTATTGATCCAAATTACTCGTATTTTCGCGAATCCCAGCGGATAAATTGGCGGCTCTGGTTAGCGCGGACCTCCAGCTCTCCACCTCTTTCATTTCGGCATTCGATTCGCGTTCGTTTTGAGGAAAAGCTCTGCAAAACTTATCTTGAGCTTACGAACTTCAGATGGATCAATTTGGTAGAAAATCGGCACCACTATCTGCTTCTTTGCGTCCATGCACGCCAGGATTTTGACCAGTTCTTTCAAGCACCACGTCGAATAAGCGTAGTTCTGGGAGAAAACCACGATCGAAAGCCTCGACGACTCGCTGATTGAGCTGCTAACCCAACTGAACTACAAATTGGATCACCGGAAAATGGTCTGACCGACACGAAGTCAATGAGGCAATGCAAATTAGATCATCACGTAAAGTACACTAATCTGGTTTTGAAACTCAGCAAATCTTAAATGACCCTTCCTTTTATTTATTATTAATTTTTACAGTAGAGCAACGTTGGTGGTTTAGGTAATTAGTTATTAAAGAAGAGGAAAATCTATAAGGATCGAATTCACAACAAATTCATAAGGATCGAATTCGCATCAAAGTGTATACGTATTATTATTTTTCGTCACTGTAGTAATGCGCCAACTGCAAATCTCATGAGTATAATTTGTATGAATATGTTTTTTTTAGTATAAATGATATTCTATACATCTACACTTTTCCTTTTTGTTAAAGAACCCTCGATTGTGCGAGGTGAAATTTTATTGAAATAAAAAGGCAAATGCACCTAGTGTAACCAAACAAAAAAAAAATGATATTCTACACTACGCGATATCGTTCAACTATGTTGAATCTTCATCTGCATACCCAACCCAATAACTTCTTTGTAAATCGGAAATATATTCCGATCTCGCTATTCATATGAAAAATGAGTTAGAGTGATTGGAAATATCCTCGAGGTAAGTGTCAGCTTCTCACATATGTGTCATGTCTAATAGCATCGTTTGGCTTCTAAACTACTGTCACATTATTAATGGTACTACTCTGAAATCTTTCATATGTATGACGAGGATAATGCGCGTTTTCTATTAAAAATATGAAAGTTGTTGTATGATGAACCTTTTATTGTATTTTTGTTCGGATGTACATTTCATTGTTTTTGTTCGAATTTGGGTGTGCCAAGAAAGAGTAGAGGTAACAATTTTAGGCAGATTCCGACTTGAAAAGAACAAAAAATAAATTTGTTTGGGTTGGGCATAATCGTGCTAACCCATTTATCATGGTTAATAAGAGTTTGTGTTCCCATCCAACCCACCTAATTCGAAAGTGACATACACTTTAGCACGCTTACACAATTGCATAACTAGATAACTCGTGTGTAATTATTTAAGTTGAACGTGAAATGATAGTTTAACCTTTTTCTTTCATGTAAACTTTGTATTCTTATCAGTAGCTAATAGTGACGCCTTTGGGTTGTGTTCATGTCGAGAAGTTTTTTTGTGAGGCCGGCACATTGTTCGGTACACCAAGTAATCATACAATTCGTTAAAAAAATAATTTCAAGCTTCCAACCAATTATATTATAAAACTTGGTGTACCAAGTTGTACGCCAAGCACACTGAAAAATCTATCGTTTATGTCAACACGAACCTGAGACATCCGGAAGAGTAATTAAGGGTACTTGCTACTTATGTCTTGAGGCTGCATGGTTATTACAGCTCTACAAAGTGATATTCTAATTTCTAAATTCATATGGAACAGAATTGGGCAATTAAAAACTTAATTAATCTAATTAATCTTGTTTGCATGAGCAACATAAATGCGTTGCAACTGAAATTTTCAATTTCAGCACATCGAGTCATTTCTCTTGTTCTAATTTTGTACTAACATTACAACAAGCTCATCTCAACCTCTGTCAATGTCAAATTGGATCACTCACATTATCTGAATTGGCAATTCCAAATACAAGAAGCTCCTTTCCACCTTCACTGGGTTCAGTGTGTTGTGCGGAAACACTAATTTGAAACTAATAAACTAATACTGAAAAATATGACAAAACAAACAATTAAAAATGACACAAAGATTTATATTGGTTCAGCGTAAGCCTACATCCAGTTCGGGGACAGCAAGGAAGGTCCACTAATAAACAAAAGGAAAAGAAGATTATAAAGAGTGCTCTCAAACTCAAACCCAAAATACACCCAGAAACACTTTCAAATAGAAGAGGGAAAAAAACGAATTACAAACAAAATATTTGTCTCTCTACAACTACAACAATCTCTGACTGGTTTCACTCTTACAGAACTTTAAACGCAGCAGCTCCCCATTTTATTTCTCTCTTCCATTGGGTGTCGGCTCTTCTCTTTCCTTTACACTAGTGCTGCTGCTGCTTCTATTCCCATGTCCCACCGTCTCATCCAAATTGCACAATGCGAGGCTTTATATACGAGCACTAAAAAGACCTAGCATGTGATCCGCATATGCCAACTAAAGAGCCACATAAGTTTGGGTTTAGGTCCGCGTAGAAAGGGTCGAGACCCAACAGAACTGAGCCATCAAATCCAACACAGAGGGATTGTTCTCTTCAGTTTTCCCTTGCCCCATCAGGAAGTACCAATCTTTTAGAATACAAATCCTCTGCGTCAGAGGTATCACTTCCAATTTGTTCACCCTCGTTATAGCAACACCCCTCACGGTTCCTCTCAGAATGAGCAACTCTTACCAGTGATTTTCCAAAAGCACGAAGTTCGGCTTCAGAATTCTCATGATGATAGTGTTGTTCTTGAAAGTGGAATTGATCCGGCTGTATCATGCTTCAATAACGCACCACCTCAAATTTGGGATAAAAGGGACCACACGGGCTTACAATTAGCTTCCTTTCACAATTGGCGTAAAAGAGATTATGCACCCCCTCACAGTTGGCATAAAAGAGACGAACTCCACTCCTTCTGACGCGATGCTGCTGAACTGGTGCCCCAGAATCACATAATCTGACTCAAGTAACCTGCCTCTTGTGATGCTCAAATCAAGCAAATCAAAGCAGAAACCGCGCTCGCCATGCATGCTCTCCTTTGAAGGTACAAAAACACAGAGCAGATAGATCAGATGCATAATGTGCATACTTGAACTTGGTAACACCGCACACAGCGAATCCTAAAATCTTATGATCCTAGACTGTGGTAGATGCACAGTTACAGAAGATCTGCTACACTGATGGCTGAACCAATCTGAAAGTTTACTTCCAGGAAGATACATAAACAAGGAAAGAGGTTGCAGATTACCCTGCAGAATGAAAACAAAGGTAAACTGGACTTGCATTAGATATGTTTCGTACTTTTGCACGTAGAGAGAGAGAGAGAGAGAGAGAGAGAGAGAGAGAGAGAGAGAGACCTGATGAGCTTCCACAACATCTTCAAATAGATTTTGCACCAGCTGGAAGCAGTTTGAAAATGTCAAGTAAAGATTCTTGGGAAAAAACTTGCTTGGTGTTGAAACAGATTCCAAAGCTGTGCAATCATGGGCATCTATGAACCTTATAGTTGATGAAATCTCTGGTATTGATTTCAGTCCCTTGCAACCTTCCAATTTGAGACTTGTTAACCAATGAAGCCAATTCATTTCTGCAGGCAAGCTCTCAAAATTGTTCTGCTGAGTTCTAATGTATTCAATAATGATAAATGAGCAATACCCAATAATTCCAACACCTCAAACTTTGGGCAACCAGAGAGACTAAGATAGTGTAGGGACTTGAGATCACAAATGCTGCTTGGTAGACTTGAGTTTTTTGCAATCTCTTAGGTTCAACGTAACAAGCCCAGGAAGATTTCAAATTGAAGAAGGCAGTTCTTTAATTGCAGTCCCATCTAAATATAACTTTGATAGCTTCCCCAAAAAATCTGAAATATCAGGAAACTTCTCAAAGTTTTGAGCAACCAGAAAGATTAAGGGTTTGAAGAGATCCCATATGAATGCTTCTCGGCAGGCTCTTGAGTTCTTGACACCCAGATAGGTCCAAAACAGTAAGGCCAGTGAGTTTACTAATTGACGAAGGCAGTTCTTTAATGGCAGTCCCATCTAAATATAACCTTGATAGTTTCTTCATAACATCTGAAATATCTGGAAACTTCTCAAGCATTGAGCAACCCGAAAGAATAAGGGTTTGAAGAGATCCCATATGAATGCTGCTCGGCAGGCTCTTGAGTTCTTGACACCCAGATAGGTTCAAAACAGTAAGGCCCGTGAGTTTATTAATTGACGAAGGCAGTTCTTTAATGTCAGTCCCATCAAAATATAACTCTAATAGATTCTCCATAACATCTGAAATATCTGGAAACTTCTCAAGCATTGAGCAACCTGAAAGAATAAGAGTTCGAAGAGATCCCATATGAATGCTGCTCGGCAGGCTCTTGAGTTCTTGACACCGAGATAGGTCCAAAACAGTGAGGCCTGTGAGTTTATTAATTGACGAAGGCAGTTCTCTAATGGCAGTCTCGTCTAAATAAAGCTCTGATAGCTTCTCCATAACACCTGAAATATCTGGAAACTTCTCAAGGTCTGAGCAACCAGAAAGATTAAAGGTTTGAAGAGATCCCATATGAATGCTGCTTGGCATGCTCTTGAGTTCTCGACAGCCTCTTAGGTTCAAAATAGTAAGGCTCGTGAGTTTATTAATTGACGAATGCAGTTCTTTAATTGCAGTCTCGTCTAAATAAAGCTCTGATAGCTTCTCCATAACATCTGAAATATCTGGAAACTTCTCAAGCATAGAGCAACCCGAAAGAATAAGGGTTTGAAGAGATCCCATTTGAATGCTGCTTGGCAGACTCGGCAGGCTCTTGAGTTCTCGACAGCCTCTTAGGCTCAAAATAGTAAGGCCCGTGAGACTATTGATTGGGAAGTTCTTTAATTGCCGTCTCATCTAAATGAAGCTTTGATAGCTTCTCCATAACACCCGAAATATTTGGAAACATCTCAAGGTTTGAGCAACCAGAAAGATTAAGGGTTTGAAGAGATCCCATATGAATACTGCTCGGCAGACTCTTGAGTTCTCGACACCCAAATAGGTTCAAAACAGTAAGGCCTGTCAGTTTATTAATTGACGAATGCAGTTCTTTAATTGCAGTCTCATCTAAATAAAGCTCTGATAGCTTTTCCATAACATCTGAAATATCTGGAAACTTCTCAAGCATTGAGCAACCAGAAAGAATAAGGGTTTGAAGAGATCCCATATGAATGTTGCTCGGCAGGCTCTTGAGTTTTCGACACCTAGATAGGTTCAAAACAGTAAGGCCCGTGAGACTATCGATTGAGGAGGGAAGTTCTTTAATTGCCGTCTCATCTAAATGAAGCTGTGATAGCTTCTCCATAACATCTGAAATATCTGGAAACTTCTCAAGCATTGAGCAACCAGAAAGAATAAGGGTTTGAAGAGATCCCATATGAATGCTGCTCGGCAGACTCTTGAGTTCTCGACACCCAAATAGGTTCAAAACAGTAAGGCCTGTCAGTTTATTAATTGACGAATGCAGTTCTTTAATTGCAGTCTCATCTAAATAAAGCTCTGATAGCTTTTCCATAACATCTGAAATATCTGGAAACTTCTCAAGCATTGAGCAACCAGAAAGAATAAGGGTTTGAAGAGATCCCATATGAATGTTGCTCGGCAGGCTCTTGAGTTTTCGACACCTAGATAGGTTCAAAACAGTAAGGCCCGTGAGACTATTGATTGAGGAGGGAAGTTCTTTAATTGCCGTCTCATCTAAATGAAGCTGTGATAGCTTCTCCATAACACCCGAAATATTTGGAAACATCTCAAGGTTTGAGCAACCAGAAAGCTTAAGGGTTTGAAGAGATCCCATATGAATACTGCTCGGCAGACTTTTGAGTTCTCGACAGCCTCGTAGGTCCAAGAGAGTAAGGCATGTGAGTTTATTAATTGACGAAGGCAGTTCTTTAATGGCAGTCCATTGTAAATATAACTCTGATAGATTCTCCATAACATCTGAAATATCTGGAAACTTCTCAAGGTTTGAGCAACCAAAAAGATTAAGGGTTTGAAGAGATCCCATATGAATACTGCTCGGCAGGCTCTTGAGTTCTTCACAGCCTCCTAGATTCAATATAGCAAGGCTTTTCAGAGCTGAAATAGATGGGTCAACCTCATATAACCCTGTACAACCTTCAAAATTTAGTTCCTCAAGACTTGTAGCCTTTGTGAAGTCGGGGGTTTTCTTAAGGTATCCACAATCACTTAAGTTGATAGATTTCAACTTTTCCAGAGGCTGTTAAAAAGTCCAAGAAAACATGCACAACACATCTCAGAACCTAAACATTGAAAATAAATATATTTACGTAAATGAAAAATCATACCTCAGCTCCCTTCCAAAGTCGTTCGATGCGACTATTGCTCATGTCAAGGTTTACAAGATTCTTGAACTGGAAGTTGGATGGCCAAGACTTGAGGGGGCAACCACGCCAGATGAGACACCTCAACTGAGAACTTTGGAACTTTAAGTCCGCAATCCAGTGTTTTATGAAGCAATCATGTGGAGCTCGATTGTCAAATGAATCCCCGAATGCAAGCTCATCTTCTGCTTCAGTTGAAGTTTGACTGTCAAATGAATCCTCGGATACAAACCCATATTCGTCAAAGTAACCATCACGTATCATGAGCAGTCTTAGTTTTGTCATACTAACAAATGCTTCAGTATTTGAGCATCTCTCTTTAAAGATTGCTGAATCCAGGATTATGCCTTCAATTGCTTCTGTAGCCTGGATAAACCAACAATGTAAATTAAAGTGAAGGAAAACACAAAGAACCTTATTGAATATTATAAACAATGCATGTTTGCTATAAAATAGATTTTCGTCGAAAGCTGAAGCTTTCTACGAAACATTGCATAAGAGAAAGATATCTCACTGTTTTTTGAGTCAGCACATGACGAACATCTTCATAACTCCACAACCTACTTCTTCTCCCAGGCTCTTTGATACATTCTTGGCGAACGATTTCCCGACCCATTTCCTCTAGTAAATCATGCATCACCAGTTCCCCCCACTTTGACACAGATATGAGAGCTCGGTCGATTAGAACTCTTATTCCACGATGGGGATATAAGCCACAACTGTCCAGACTTTTTTTTGCACTGTCTATATCCATTCCTTTCAAGAAACATGCAATATCTAGAAAGATGTCCTTGTCTGACTCATCTAGTCCATCAAAGCTCGTTTTAAGCACATTATGAATTCCCTTTTGCGGGATTTTCCTTATTTTTTCCAACTCATCTACCCACTCGGGCACAGTTTTGTTATCAAGAAAAGCTCCCAACACTTTGAGTGCTAAAGGCAGACCTTGAGCATATTGTATGGCACGCCTTGAGAGCTGACCATAATTTCGGGTGGGTTGGATTGTTCTGAAGGCATACTGGTAGAAGAGTTTAAGAGCTTCTGGCTCACTTAAGTTCTCGGGCTTATATACAGCACCAGCTCCACTTAATAATTGTTTATCTCTAGTTGTTATAATGACCCGACTTCCACCACCAAATGAATGCTGCTTTCCAAGTAAGGCTTCGATTTGGGATAATTCATCAACGTCATCAAGAACAATGAAAACTTTTTTCCTTTGTAGCCTTTCCATTATCACTCTGGAACCTCGATCTAACGTGCCTAAACTCTGCACCTTTTCCTTCAAGATTCTAGAAAGAAGCACTTCCTGCATATGTACTGCACCATTCTTCGAGAAGCCTTCCTTGACATTTTCGAGAAAGCAGCAAGCTTCAAATTGACAAGCGATTTCATCGTAAACAGCGCCAGCGATGGTGGTTTTGCCTATTCCTCCCATACCCCATATTCCAACAGTGAAAACATCATCCACCCCAGGACGTAATAGTGAATTCACTGCATCTATGTGGTAATCCATTCCAACCAAGCCATTATCTTTGCTTGACGAGACTTGGATATATCTCTTAAATATGTCATCCACAATTTCCTCAATAAGCTTGGCATCATCCCTGTGTAATATGAAAAAACAGCACCGAATTAAACTAAATGCTATAAAAATCCCAATTCAAAAGTAATTAAGAATATAATCGAACAGTAATTACTCGTATTTTCGCGAATCCCATCCGGATAAATTGGTGGCTCTGGTTAGTGCGGACCTCCAGCTCTTCACCTCTTCCATTTCGGCACTCGATTCGCGTTCGTGTTGATCAAAAGCTTCTGCAAAACTTCTCTTGAGCTTACGAACTTCAGACGGATCGACTTGGTAGAAGATCGGCACCACTATATGCTTCTTTGTATCCATGCAGGCCAGGATTTTGACCAGTTCTTTCAAGCACCACGTCGAAGAAGCGTAGTTCTGGGAGAAAACCACGATCGAAATCCTTGACTCTTCGATGGCTGAAAGGAGTTCCGAAAGGTCGTTGCCTTTTCTGAGCTTTTCCGCATCGATGAAGGTGTTGATTGCTTTCTGATCCAGAGCTCTGTAGAGATGGCCGACGAAGATCTTGCGAGTGTCTTCGCCTCTGAAATTCAGGAAGACGTCGTACTTCCACGAGGAAGAGGAAGAAGAAGAAGCAGCCATTGACATCTGACAGGGACAGTATCCACAGCAGATGGTCAGCTACCAGTGCGGCGATGAGGACGAGGACTCCAACAGCTTCTCTGCTGCTGGGGTTTTGTTGTTCTTTGAGCTTTGTTTCTGTTTGGGCCTGGTCTCTGTTTTTAGGGCCTTGTTTTGTTCCCTTGTGTTTTTTTGTTTGTTTGTTTTAAAGAAATATTAATGGAATGTTCACTTGACCAAAACCAAGAAGAAAACTAAATTTTTTAAGTTAAATTTATAAATTATGTTGTAGTTGTAGATGATTAGATCATTCATTAAATGTCGATTAACGTGATGTTTTTAATTAATAACATATCATTTAACTTACAAATTTAGTTTAAAATTTTGATTTCCTTAACATTATTATAAAAAAATTTCAACAAAAAAAAAAACATTATTATAAAAAATATATATAATTTTATAAAATTTGAAAGTAAAAACTCTATAAAATGGTCGGGAAGTCAAATGAGTCAACGAAAATGATTTTCTTTTTACTAGGTGGTTTCCTAGCACTATCCCCAAAAAATTGTAATTCCATAAAATTTGAAAGAGAGAAATCTATGTAAAATGGTCGGAAAGTCAATGAGTCAACCACAATGAGTTTCTTTCTACTAAGTTTGGACATAAAAATAATAATAATTTATCTTCACTATTGCAACTTAATATTACGGTCTAGTGGTATTACTTTTTACTTCTAATTCTTAGTTTCAATTCTCGTTAAATGTGAATTTGAATTACATTATTGCTAGCTCATTGTGATGCTAACTCCACCATTCCTCTTAGTACAGATAATATCACTTGTTAAAAAAAAAATTATTGTTGGGAAGCCAAAACTTTTCCTTAAAGTCACAAGGTTTCACAAGAAAAAATTGGACTAAAAAAACCCCTGAATTAAAAAAAAAATCCAAAACTAACGTGAAAATTTGATTTCTCATCTCCAAGGGTATTTTTGTAAAAAAAACATTAAACAAACCAGAAAAATTAGCAAAAAAATAAGAAGAAAAAGGGGGGGGGGGAATATGAAAAATAATAATAAACTTTGTTGGAACATTACTAATGCTAAAAAGGCATTATTTTTATTTTTATTTTAACTAAACTACATATTAATATAATTTTCTTTGTCAATTAAAAGAGGATGAAAAGATTATTATTACAATAAAAAAGTTAAAGGCAATAACGTAATATTACAAGAAAAATTATAATCCTCTCTCTCCTCACTCTCACGTTCTCGCTCACTCTCTTGCTGCTCTTCTTTAATTTTAAAACAAAAACAAAAAATTCACACATGGTTTGTGCGTAGCATATTCTAGTAAATTTTAAATAACATTTTAGTAATTAAAAATTGAAAAGAAATAACCGCTTCTTACTGAGAAGTTAATGGCTTTTTTCGTTGAATTTATTCTAAATATAAAATTAAGCCAATTTAAAAAAAAAGAATAAAGTATCCAAAAAAAAATCAAATGCAAAAGAAAGAGGCTAGTAATAAAATAAGGGTAGTGCTATTCACACATATTTTTTACCTCTCACATATTCTTATTAATTTTTTCATTTGATCTCCTTCAACTTATTCGATTCGATTGCCGAAAATCAAGAGAAGTGTGTGAAAAGAAAAAATGAGTGTCTAAATAACATCATCTTAAAATAATTCTTCAACGTATTGGGAAATTTAAATACGAATTGGACTAGCCTGGTTTTAAATTTTTAAAAGGCCCATCAGAATGAGTCCAAATAGGCCCACGGCCCGCCAGCATTAATGTGTTTTTTTTTTATCGTCAAAAGAAAATCCCATTTTATGAGTTTAGTTTGTAAGGGTGAAGCCATCGTGATTAGAATTCAGCAGCATAAGCTGTTCATGACGGTATTGATCCAAATTGTACTCAAACAGTTCGGAGAAAAACTTGTGTATAATTGGAGACATATCCAAATTGAAATATTCACACAATTAGTGAGACATCTCGAATATCAAATGCACTTGATTCGTTGGACAAGTTGAAATTTCGGTAAGGGATAACCTACCATAAAATCTTCATATTTATGCGGCTACAAATATCGTGGATCTCGATTCCTACAACATGTCGTGTTTAAATTTGATTTGTTTCGTGCATGTCTGAAATTGTCATCCCGCAAAAACTACCAGAACTCCTACTAAGTGCTTATGAGTCGTGGCTTATAAAAATAGTGCAGAAACATGTGAATCAATATGGAAATTGAGCAAATTAAGAAATTATTCTGATCTAGTTCTCAATCTTCTAATTAACAACATCAATGTGATTTGAACTTGCTTAATCTACGTTTTCACTGCACATCGTTGTTTCGCCCGTGTTCTAAGGTTGACAGTAGCTAGAAGATCACAGCAAGAAGCAGAGGAAGGATGCTAACTATTACAGAAAATTTGTTTATTCAAAAGAGCATTAATAAAAACACACATTGAAATTAATCCGGTGCAGGATTTATAGTGGTGGCAGCCACACTACAACAATGGGGCTTCTCACCCTGTGCACTCCATCCTTCCACACCAACCCGCCGAACTCCGGGACTGCCTGCCGGGATTTCGTAGTGAAGATGATTTTGTATGACAGCTTCTGATTGGCTGTGGTGAATTTCAGCATCCGAGGCTCGACTTTCACATAAGCACCTTTGAACGGTGAAACAATGGCGTGGTAATTCGAAACCGCAGGGCCAACGTTAGTGACAGTTCTGTGAAGTGTCAAAACAGAAACATTTGTTCTGTCCGGGAACACAACCGAGAGTGCCGGATAGTTCAAGTCCCCCGGACTGGCTAGATTGTTCTTGCAACTTCTGTTCGAGTACTTGGTAAAAACTTTGAGCTGCGTTGGTGTTAGCCTTTGTGTGCAGAGGAATTCAAGATAGTCCTGCGCCTCAATGTCGTAAATCAATCCCGGGTCAAGAGCCCTAACCGGGTTTATGTGCCCCGCACCGTGATCATACGGGGTTGAAATTGAAGCTGCTGAGGAGTCTTGTAGAGGCTTTCGCGTGTTGTCGTGGACATAAGCGGTTGTCATCAAGGCGGACTTTATTGCAGCCGGACTCCAATCCGGGTGCCTTGCCTTGAGCAGAGCGGCAATGCCGCTCACATGGGGGCAGGACATTGAAGTCCCGGACAGTATATTGAACTTCACGTTTCTACGATCTACTGGCAAGCTGGACGGGCCTAATGCGCCTGTCCAAGCGGCGAGGATGTTCACTCCTGGTGCCACCATATCCGGCTTGAGAATCTCAAGGCTTACCAGATTAGGCCCTCTGGATGAAAACGCTGCCACCACAGGCGACGGTCTAACCCCGACTCTAGTTCCAAGAAATGTTAGAGTTGCGGTGGCTCTCGGGCTTGTTGAAGCATAATGCTTGATTCCCTTTGCTTCGTTCTCTCCCACAGCAACCGCCGGAACAAGGTGGCAATCCGCCACAAGCTCCTCTCCGTTTGCAGCTGTGTTTGCCAAGATCATCCCAACTCCTCCGGCTTCTTTCACCACCTCTCCCTTCTGCACTCTAGGACTAATCCCACGGTCGCAAATCACAATCTTTCCGGCCACAACTCGGCGATCCAACGTCCCCTCCAAACACAGCGAGCTCGGATTAGGACTAGTTGAATTGCTTCCCAAATACACAACAGGGTATTGCTTGTTTGTTGACAGCATCATCCTTCCCCTGTAGAGCGAAACCCCGGTAATAGTCCTGCCATTTCCGAGCTTCACAGTGGCTGGAAAATCTCTATCCATGGTGCTAGCTCCCACCGTAGTACTTTTCTCTACCATTGTAAAGGCCACTTACATGCGTGTTTTTCTATTAAAAATATGAAAGTTGTTGGATGATGTATCTTTTATTGTATTTTTGTTACTTTCATTGTTTTTGCTCGAATTTAGGTAGAAAGTGCCAAGAAAGAGTAGAGGTAACAATTTTAGACATATTCGACAATTCGACTTGGAAAAGACAAAAAATAAATTTGTTTGAGTCGGGCATAATCGTGTTGACCCATTTAAAATGGTTAATAAGAGTTTGTGTCTACATCCAACCCACCTAATCCGAAAGCTGTGCACACTTTAGTACGTTTACATAATTGTGTAACTAAGTAACTCGTGTGCAATTCATTTAAGTTGAACGTGGAATGAGAAGTCTAATCTTTTTCTTTCATGTAACCTTTGTATTCTTATGAGTAACTAAACAGCAATGCCTTTGATTGTGTTCATGTCAAGAATTTTTTTTGTGTGGCCGGCACATTACTCGAACACCATGAGTCATGATACAATTCATTAAAAAAATATTTCAAATTTCCAGCTAATTATATTATAAAACTTGATGTACCAAGCCGTGTGCCAAGCACATTGAAAATTCTCTCGTTCGCGTCAACACGAAGAGTATATGAGACATTTGGAAGAGTAATTAAGGGTACTTGGTAATTGGTATTGATGTCTTGTGGCTGCAAAGTTGCCACAGCTCTACAAAGTGCTTAGGACATTTGAAAACAAAGCAGAAACACGTCCTCCAGATTCTAAATTCATATGGGATGGAATAATTGGGCAATTAAAAACTTAATTATTCTAATTTATCTTGTTCTGATGAGCAACATAAATGTGTTGTTTGCAACTGAATTCTTCAATTTCAGCACATCGAGCTATTTCTCTTGTTCTAATGTTGAATTAACATTACAACAATCTCCACTCCACTTCCTGACAATGTCAAATTGGATGACAAATTATCTGATTGGCACTTCCAAATACAAGAAGCTCCTCTCTCCACCTTCACTGGGTTTAGAGTGTTGTGTGGAAGCGCTAATTTGAAACCAATAAACTAATACGAAAAAATATGAAAAACCAAACAATTCAAAATGACACAAAGATTTATACTGGTTCGGCATAAACCTACATCCAGTTTAAGGACAGTGAGGAAGTTCCACTAATAAAACAAAACGAGATTACAAAGAAAGCTCTCAAACTCAAACCCAAAATACACTCAAATACACACAAATAGATGAGCGAATAAACGAATTAGAAACAAAATATTTGTCTCTCTGCAACTACAACAATCTCTAACTGGTTTCACTCTTACCAAAAAAAAAATAAAAATGCAGCAGCTCCGAATTATTTCTCTCTTCTATTGGGTTTCGGCTCCTCTTCCCGTCATACTAGTGCAGCTGCTTCGGTTCAACCTCTCGTCCAAATTGCACAATGTGAGGCTTTATATTATGAGCGCTAAAAAGACCTAGCATGTGATCCGCACATGCCAACTAAAGAGCCACAACAGTTTGGTTTTAGGTCCGCGTAAGAAAGGGTCGAGACCCAACAGAACTGAGCAGTCAAATCCAACACACAGGAATTATTCTCTTCAGTTTTCCTTTGCCCCATCAGGAAGTACCAATCTTTTAGGATATAAATCCTCCACGTCGGGGGTTTCACCTCAACCAGGGCCGGTCCTGAGTTTTTTGATGCCCAGTGCGAAAGTTCAAAATGTGCCCTTTTTAGTACAGAAACATATGTTTAAAATAAATATTTTGCGAGCTTAATCACATGTATGTGTAAAAAAATTATCACTAGTAGCATGCAAAATGCCTTCCAATTTCTATCATGTATGTGCAAAATTTTTCACATCAACCAAATTATGATTAAAAACAGATGGAAAATCACATATACGCAGAACGCATTAAACACATCCAATACATCACAATCCAATCACATATTCATCCAATCATATAAAATAACATATCCCACTAAATTAATCTCAACTGCATACCATGTGAACCACCAAGTTGTTGAAGAGAAGAGCATGCAAGAACCGGCGGTGCAACTCCGGTGACCAGTTTCGCCTTCGTTTCCCTGTCCATCTTTCTCTTTGTTCTTGTTGTTCCCACCACTGTCTCCACTCACGGTGTCCGTGGTGGAACTAGTAGCCGGAGCCGAAGAAGGTTCTTTAGCCACCGGTCCATTTGTCTTTCCAATGCTTTTTTTTTCCTTTGGAAAGGCTGAAAAGCACCCCATTTCTCTTCATCTCCATCACTATAGCCTTTAACTTGCTCCTCCTGCCATTACCCTACACCTAAAAATCAATACTTTCCACTTCTTCACCTCAAATTTTATAAGCAACCAAACAAAAGGGCAGTCACAAAATTTACTAAAATTGATGAAGGTGGAGTCTTTTTTTATACCTCTTCGAGTGGTGCATCTGGAGTTGTATGAAATCCGTGTTAATGGAATGAATTCCTCAAAAACATGCCCCTCACTTGAAGTCTGCTCAGAACACTTAGATTGTCCATGCAGGTAATTTGCGGTTGCATCTGAAATCTGCTGCTTGCACCTCTCAATAGCTACAAAAAAAACCCCAATTTTGAAAACAGAAACCAGAACAATTCAAGCAAAAGAAACGAAGCTTCCGACTTAGAACACAAAAATTAAGCTGAAATTTGAGAAGGGTTTGTGTTCTCCGTAGTACCTTGGGCTTGGGCAGTTGAGTGACAAGCTCCAAGCAGAGAGGGAGCTCCCTTTGAAAAACTTGAATCTTATGCCTCTCCTCCATGCCCAAAACCTGGACGACTTGTCCCCTTCAGATACCCTTTATGTTATATTGATTTTTAATCCCCAAAACCTGGACAAGTTATCGCCTACAGCCTTTATTTTGGGCTTTGGACAAATTTTTTTTTATACCTAATTATTTGGATTTTGTTTTTTGGGTGCCCCATTCAACTTTGGGCCCTGGACAATTGCCCCTGTTGCACTGCGCCTGGGCCGGGCCTGACCTCAACTTTGTTCAGCCGCATTATAGCAACACCCCTCACGGTTCCTCTTAGAATGAGCAACTCTTACCAGTGATCTGCCAAAAGCACGAAATTCCGCTTCAGAATTTTCATGATGGATAGTCAGGCTGTGTCATGCTTTGGTTATGCATCTCTTCACTATTGGCATAAAAGAGACGAACTCCACACCTTCTGATGCGATGCTGCTGCCCTGGTACCCAAGAATCACGTGATTGGACTCCATCTAAATGACGAAGGCCCGTGAGTTTATTAATTGATGAAGGCAGTTCTTTGATTGCAGTCCCATCTAAATGAAGCTCTGATAGCATCTCCATTCCTGAAATCTCTGGAAACCTCTCAAATTTTGAGCAGCCTGAAAGAATAAGGGTTTGCAGAGATCCCATACGAATGCTGCTCGGCAGGCTCTTGAGTTCTTGACACCCAGATAGATCCAAAACAGTAAGGCCCGTGAGTTTATTAATTGACAAAGTCAGTTCTTTAATGGTAGTCCCACCTAAATAAAGTTGTGATAGCTTCTCCATAACATCTGAAATATTTGGAAACTTCTCAAATTTTGAGCAACCAGAAAGATTAAGGGTTTGAAGAGATCCCATATGAATGCTGCAGGGCAGGCTCTTGAGTTCTAGACACCCAGATAGGTCCAAAACAGTAAGGCCCCTGAGTTGATTAATTGACGAAGGCAGTTCTTTAATTGCAGTCCCATCTAAATAAAGCTTTGATAGCTTCTCCATAACATCTGAAATCTCTGGAAACTTCTCAAGTTTTGAGCAGCCTGAAAGAAAAAGGGTATGAAGAGATCCCATACGAATGCTGCTCGGCAAGCTCTTGAGTTCTTGACACCCATATAAGTCCAAAACAGTAAGGCCCGTGAGTTTTATTAATTGACGAAGGCAGTTCTTTAATTGCAGTCCCATCTAAATATAACTCTGATAGCTTCTCCATAACATCTGAAATCTCTGGAAACTTCTCAAGGTTTGAGCAACCAGAAAGATTAAGGGTTTGAAGAGATCCCATATGAAAGCTGCTCGGCAGGCTCTTGAGTTCTCGACAACCTTTCAGGTCCAAAGTAATAAGGCCCGTGAGTTTATTAATTGACGAAGACAGTTCTTTAATTGCAGTCCCAGCTAAATATAACTCTGATAGCTTCTCCATAACATCTGAAATCTCTGTAAACTTCTCAAGGTTTGAGCAACCAGAAAGATTAAGAGTTTGAAGAGATCCCATATGAATGCTGCTCGGCAGGCTCTTGAGTTCTCGAACAGCCTCGTAGGTCCAAAGTAAGAAGACCTGTGAGTTTATTAATTGACGAAGGCAATTCTTTAATTGCAGTCCCATCTAAATGAAGCTCTGATAGCTCCTCCACAACATCTGAAATCTCATGAAACTTCTCAAGTTTTGAGCAGCCTGAAAGAAAAAGGGTATGAAGAGATCCCACACGAATGCTGCTCGGCAAGCTCTTGAGTTCTTGACACCCATATAGGTCCAAAACAGTAAGGCCCGTGAGTTTATTAATTGACGAAGGCAGTTCTTTAATTGCAGTCCCATCTAAATATAACTCTGATAGCTTCTCCATAACATCTGAAATCTCTGGAAACTTCTCAAGGTTTGAGCAACCAGAAAGATTAAGGGTTTGAAGAGATCTCATATGAATGCTGCTCGGCAGGCTCTTGAGTTCTTGACACCCAGATAGGTCCAAAACAGTAAGGCCCGTGAGTTTATTAATTGACGAAGACAGTTCTTTAATTGCAGTCCCAGCTAAATATAACTCTGATAGCTTCTCCATAACATCTGAAATTTCTGTAAACTTCCCAAGGTTTGAGCAACCAGAAAGATTAAGGGTTTGAAGAGATCCCATATGAATGCTGCTCGGCAGGCTCTTGAGTTCTCGACAGCCTCGTAGGTCCAAAGTAGCAAGGCCCGTGAGTTTATTAATTGATGAAGACAGTTCTTTAATTGCAGTCCCACCTAAATATAACTCTGATAACTTCTCCATAACATCTGAAATCTCAGGAAACTTCTCAAGGTTTGAGCAACCAGAAAGATTAAGGGTTTGAAGAGATCTCATATGAATGCTCCTCGGCAGGCTCTTGAGTTCTTGACAGCCACGTAGGTCCAAAGCAGGAAGACCCGTGAGTTTATTAATTGACGAAGACAGTTCTTTAATTGCAGTCCCACCTAAATATAACTCTGATAGCTTCTCCATAACATCTGAAATCTCAGGAAACTTCTTCTCAAGGTTTGAGCAACCAGAAAGATTAAGGGTTTGAAGAGATCTCATATGAATGCTGCTCGGCAGGCTCTTGAGTTCTTGACACCCAGATAGGTCCAAAACAGTAAGGCCCGTGAGTTTATTAATTGACGAAGGCAGTTCTTTAATTGCAATCCCATCTAAATGAAGCTCTGATAGCTCCTCCATAACTTCTGAAATCACTGGAAACATCTCAAGGTTTGAGCAACCAGAAAGATTAAAGGTTTGAAGAGATCCCATATGAATGCTGCTCGGCAGGCTCTTGAGTTCTCGACAGCCTCGTAGGTCCAAAGTAGCAAGGCCCGTGAGTTTATTAATTGATGAAGGCAGTTCTTTAATTGCAGTCCCACCTAAATATAACTCTGATAGCTTCTCCATAACATCTGAAATCTCAGGAAACTTCTCAAGGCTTGAGCAACCGGAAAGACGAATGGTTTTAAGAGACTTCATACCAGTGATGCTCGGAAGAATCTTAAGATCAATGCACCAAGTTAGACTCAATATAGCAAGGTTTTTCAAAGCTGAAATGGATGGGTCAACCTCACATAACCTTGTACAATTTTCGAATCTCAGTTCCTCAAGACTTGTAGCCCTTGTGAAGTCAGGGGTTTTCTTAAGGTATTGACAATGACATAAATTGATGAATTTCAACTTTTCCAGAGGCTGTTAAAAAGTCCAAGAAAACATGCACAACTCAGAACCTAAACTTTGAAAATAATAAATTTACGTAAATGAAAAATCGTACCTCAGCTCCTTTCCAAAGTTGTTCGATGCAACTATAGCTCATGTCAAGGTTTACAAGATTCTTGAACTGAAAGTTGGATGGCCAAGACTTTAGGGGGCAATCACGCCAGATGAGGCACCTCAATTGAGAAGATTGGAACTTTAAGTCCGCAATCCAGTGTTCTATGAAGCAATCACTTGGAGTTTGATGGCCAAATGAATCCCTGACTGCAAGATGATATTTGTAAAAATGCTTGGTGTAAATATCAGCGTCATCACCGATCATGAGCAGTCTTAGTTTTGTCATACTAACAAAAGCTTCAGTATTTGAGCATCCCTCTTTCAAGATTGCCGAATCCAGGATTATGGTTTCAACTGCTTCTGTAGCCTGGATAAACCAACAATGTAATTTAAAGTGAAGGAAAACACTGACAACCTTATTGAATATTATAAACAATGCATGTTTGCTATAAAATAGATTTTGGTCAAAAGCTGAAGTTTTCTACTAAACATTGCATAAGAAAAAGATATCTCACTGTATTTTTAGTCAGCACATGATGAACATCTTCATAACTCCACAACCTACTTCTTTCTCCAGGCTCTTTGATAGATTCTTGGCGAACGATTTCCCGACCCATTTCCTCTAGTAAATCATGCATCTCCAGTGTCCCCCACTCTGAGACAGATATTAGAGCTCGATCAATTAGAACTCTTATTCCAGTATGGGGATAGAAGCCACAACTGTCCAGAATTTTTTTTGCCATGTCTATATCCATTCCTTTCAAGAAACATGCAATATCTAGAAAGACATTCTTCTCTGAATCATCCAGTCCATCGAAGCTTGTTTTAAGCACATTATGAATTCCCCTTTGCGGGATCTTCCTTATTTTTTCTAACACATCTTCCCACTCGGGCAATGTTTTGTTATCAAGAAAAGCTCCCAACACTTTGAGTGCTAAAGGCAGACCTTGAGCATATTGTATGACATCCCTTGAGAGCTGATCATAAACTCTGGTGGGTTGGTTTGTTCTGAAGGCATACTGCTTGAAGAGTTTAAGAGCTTCTGGCTCCCTTAAGTTCTCGGGCTCATATACAGCACCAGCTCCACTTAATAATTGTTTATCTCTAGTTGTTATAATGACCCGACTTCCACCGCCAAATGAATGCTGCTCTCCAAGTAAGGCTTCGATTTGGGATAATTCATCAACGTCATCAAGAACAATGAACACTTTTTTCCTTTGTAGCCTTTCCATTATCACTCTGGAACCTCGATCCAACGTGCCTAAACTCTGCACCTTTTCCTTCAAGATTCTAGAAAGAAGCACTTCCTGCATATGTGCTGCACCATTTTTCGAGAAGCCTTCCTTGATATTTTCGAGAAAGCAGCAAGCTTCAAATTGACAAGCGATTTCATCATAAACAGCGCGAGCGATGGTGGTTTTGCCTATACCTCCCATACCCCATATTCCAACAGTGAAAACATCATTCACCCCAGGACGTAACAGTGAATTCACTTTATCTATGTGGTAATCCATTCCAACCAAGCCATTATCTTTGCTTGAGGAGACATGGATCAATCTCTTAAATATGTCAACCACAATTTCCTCAATAAGCTTGGCATCATCCCTGTGAAATATGAAAAACAGCACCGAATTAAACTAGATGCTTTAAAAATCCCAATTCAATAGTAATTAAGAATATAATTGAACAGTAATTACTCGTATTTTCGCGAATCCCATCCGGATAAATTGGTGGCTCTGGTTAGTGCGGACCTCCAGCTCTTCACCTCTTCCATTTCGGCGTTCGATTCGCGTTCGTGTTGAGCAAAAGCTTCTGCAAAACTTCTCTTGAGCTTACGAACTTCAGATGGATCGACTTGGTAGAAGATCGGCACCACTATCTGATTCTTTGTATCCATGCACGCCAGGATTTTGACCAGTTCTTTCAAGCACCACGTCGAAGAAGCGTAGTTCTGGGAGAAAACCACGATCGAAATCCTTGACTCTTCGATGGCTGAAAGGAGTTCCGAAAGGTCGTTGCCTTTTCTGAGCTTTTCCGCGTCGATGAAGGTGTTGATTGCTTTCTGATCCAGAGCTCTGTAGAGATGGCCGACGAAGATCTTGCGAGTGTCTTCGCCTCTGAAATTCAGGAAGACGTCGTACTTCCACGAGGAAGAGGAAGAAGAAGAAGCAGCCATTGACATCTGTTTTTTGGGGCCTAATCTCTGTTTTTTGGGGCCTTTTTCGTTTCCGCTGTGATTTTTTTGTTTGTTTTAATGAAATATTAAAACAAAACAAAAATGTAATGTTAAGAAAACTAAATTTTTTAAGGTGAATTTATAAACTAAGTTGTAGTTGACTAGTATTTGCCTACACACTTTGTATATTTAAACACATTTTGTTAGAAAATGAGAAGGAGAGAGAGGGAGAGAGAGGGAGAGAGCGGGAGAAAGAGAGAACGTGGAGGAGTGGGAGGTTTTTTTTTTTTTTGGTTTTTTTTATATAAATATTTGAGGTATTTTAACATCACTCGTAGGTGAGACTTCAACAAAAAACAATAAAATTTGGACATGTGAAATTACATTATTACCCATCATTTTTTTTGTGATAAAAGACTAATTTGTCTTTTCATCATTTTTTGGTTGACAAAAAATATTTTATTAATTAGTAGAGATTAGATTATTCATTGAATATCAATTAGCATGATGTTTTTAATTGATGAAATATCTTTTAACTTGCAAATTTGATTTAAAATTTTGATTTTCTTAACATTATTAAAAAAATATAATTTTATAAATTTGAAAGAAAAAAACTGTAAAATCGTCGGAAAGTCAAATGAGTCGACGAAAATAAGTTTCCTTTTACTAGGTGGTTTCCTAGCACTATCCCAAAAAAAAAATGTAATTCTATAAAATTGGAAAGAGGATACTCTGTAAAATGGTCGGGAAGTTAATGAGTTTCTTTCTACTAGGTTTGTACATAAAAATAATAATATTACTAATTTATCTTCATTTTTACCACTTAATATTCTGGTTTAGTAGTATTCCTTTTTACTTCTAATTTTTAGTTTCAATTATCACTAAAGGTGAATTTAAACCACATTATTGCTAGGCAATGTGAAGCTTAGCTCACCTTTTCTCTTAGTACAAATAATATCGTTTGTTAAAAAAAATATTTTTATCATTAGGAAGCCAGAACTTTACATTAAAGTCACAAGGTGTCACAAGAAACAATTGGACTAAAAAACCCCTGAATTAAAAAAAAATCCAAAACTAACGTGAAAATTTGATTTCTCATCTCCAAAGGTATTTTTGTAAAAAAAAATTAAACAAACCAGAAAAATTAGCAAAAAAATAAGAAGAAAAGCGGAAAAAAAAAAGGAAAAATAATAATAAACTTTGTTGGAACATTACTTATGCAAAAAGGCTTTTTGTTTATCTTAACTAAACTACATATTAATAGAATTTTTTTTGTCAATTGAAAGAAGATGAAAAAATTATTATTACAATAAAAAAGTTAAAGGCAGTAACATAATTTTACAAAACAAAATTTTGTTATTTTTTATTTAAACCCCACTTATAGGTGATTTTAACATATCTATTTTAAAAAATAAAAAATAATCCTCTCTCTCCTCACTCTTACGTTATCTCTCACTCTCTTGCTGCTCTCCTTTAACTTTAAAAACAAAAACAAAAAATTAACAGACAGTTTGTGCATAGCATATTCTAGTAAATTTTAAATAACAGTTTAGTAATTAAAAATTTGAAAAGAAATAACCGCTTCTTATTGAGAAGTTAGTGGTTTTTTTTGTTGAATTTATTCTAAATATAAAATTAAGCCAATTTAAAAAAATAGAATAAAGTATCCAAAAAAAATCAAATGCAAAAGAAAGAAGCTAGTAATAAAATAAGGGTAGTGCTATTCACACATATTTTTTACCTCTCACATATTCTTATTAATTTTGTCATTTGATCTTATTCAACTTATTTGATTCGATTGCCTAAAATCAAAAGACGTGTATGAAAAAAAGAAATGAGTGTCTGGATAACATCATCCTAAAATAATACTTCAACTTATTGGGAAATTCAAATACGAATTGGACTAGCCTGGTTTTAAATTTTTAAAAGGCCCATCAGAATGAGTCCAAATAGGCCCATGGCCGGCCAGCATTATTTTTTTTTTTTCGTCAAAAGAAACAAAAAGGTTAATGATGGTAAATTGGTAATCCCATTTCTTGAGTTTAGTTTGTAAGTTGTTCATGACGGTATTGAATTTGATCCAAATTGTACTCAAACAGTTTAGAGAGAAACTTGAGTATAACTAGAGACATATTTGAACTGAAATATTCACACAATTAGTGAGACATCTCGAATATCAAATGCACTTAATTCTTTGGACAAGTTGAAATTTTGGTAAGGTATATAACCTACCATAAAATCTTCATATTTATGCGGCTACAAATATCGTGAATCTCAAGTCCTATAACATGTCGTGTTTAAATCTGTTTTGTTTCGTGCATGTTTGAAATTGTCATTCTCGCAAAAACAACCAGAAGTCCTACCAAATGCTTGTGAGTCGTGACATAAAAATAGTGCAGAAACATGTGAATCAATATGGAAATTGAGCAAATTAAGAAATTATTCTAATCTAGTTCTGAATCTTCTAATTAACAACATCAATGTGATTTGAACTTGCGTAATCTACGTTTTCTGACACACCCCGATCCTAGAATCAAGGCGTGCTGGTCGTCACGTGAGTGTGACGTAACCATAAGTGCAGTGCGGAAGCAGAAACTAAAAGAATTACGAAGGAATTAAAACCAAATACTAGCAAAGGTTAACCGACTAACATGCTAGAGTGAATTAAAGTGTGGACACACACATAAACAGAGCATAAACACTAGTTGCAGTCGAGTAAGACCATAACTAAAATACATCACCCACAGGTGAGTCCTACATTAAAGAAGTCTGTCAAAACTCCGTAGAAATCCTCGTGGGTGATCAACGCAGCTAACTAGAACCTGGAGGGGCGAAAAACAAGATAGAGTGGGTCAGTAAAACCAAAGCTTTTCAAAAACATTTCACCAAAAACAATTCTAACCCCTCACTGTAAAACCTGTATACTTTTTCCCAGAAAATAACATAATAGTATACATATCTTCATATAACTCAAATTCAGAGACTATGCCATGCTATAAATGTCAAAACAGAATATGGATGCATCAATATGACAGGTGATATAAAGAATCAACCGGAGACCTTGTAATTGGCCTTGTACAGTTAATTTATAAAGCCCAACATCCAAACCAGCCGAAGTCACAAACTGTGACCTGTACGGCACTGCTAGAGTCACCACAGTGACCTGTACGGCACTACACTGCACATAATGTCGGAACTACCTAAAGTAGTCTGTACGACTAGAATGGTGTAAAATACGCTTTAGTGCTTCTCTCATCAATCATCTGTGCACATAATCTAAAGTCACCTACCAGTCGGAATCACCTCAGTGATCTGTACGACTAGCATGTCGGAACCCTCTCATGGTCTGTACGACATGCACCTACTTGGATCCAAGGTGAGCGTACGGTGCGGTGAATACTATAAGCACTAATACCAAGGGTGCAGGTTATGAGTTCTCAACGCAATCACATCATCATTCATTCATATAAACCATATAAACTCACCTGATACTCACATGTGCGTCCACAGCACCAATTCACATTTATATATATATGCATCAATATCAATTCATATAATTTATAATATGCATCATGGCAATTGAAAACATACTTTCATATAAATTCAATTTCTGGGACAATTAAGAGTATATAGGTAATACGAAAATAAAAACTGCCCATTCACTGATAAGTCGAAGGGTCGTAACCCCCGTGACGTCCCTGGATACGCTCGTCCTTGGGATAGGTGTCACCTATATGCGAAACAACTATAAAAACGTTATTTAAAGCACATTACCAATAATTCGTAATAACTTCTCATACGGTGCTCAAATTGGGTATATGAATATACCACAATGACCTACTCGACGTCACGGACGTCGACAAATTTTTAGAAATTTTTTTTGATGTGGCACGTGCCCCCACGCGCCAAGGCAGGCACGGGGACACGCGCCCCCACGCGCATCATCCCTAACCTCGGTTCGCCGGACTGAATTTTCCGGTGGCCGGAAAACTGGGCGATTTTCAAACGCCTTGTTCTCCTTTGTTTCTCAACCATTTTCTTCGCATTTTATATCAATTTGAAGCCCTCAACATGTAGAATCACGATAGACTAGTTTAAGGCTCTAAAAACTACGAAATCTCACCGAAGAAATTCCAAGAAACCGGCCAACTTCGAACTACACGATCCCGACGTCCAAAACTTTCAAACAAACTTCCCCGAGCTTCCTTAGGACCTCACTAAGCTCACTACAAGCTTAGAATTCCCTAAAAATGAAGAATTTACGTGTGCATGAACAGTACTCAAATCGGACCTCGAGATTTCAACGTGATTTCGAGGGTTTCACTTCCTAAAACTAGCACCAAACAACTCAGGAGGTCGAAATGATGAAGAACCATACCTTTTTAGCTTCGATCCGTGGAGTTTTGAAGGTTTTTGGGTCTCATACGTACACTTCGAAAGGAGAGAGGGAGAGAGTGTCGTGAGGGATGAGAGAGAAAGGGCACGGGGAATGAGAGAGGGAGATCAGGTTGGGTGTGTGTGTGGTCCAAACAAAACCTAATCACACCAAAACATACATACTAACATTAATCCCACTTAAAACAAAAACTTAGAAATGTATGTATTTAGACCAAAATACACACATACCTTAACACCTGCTAGGGGCAATCCCGTCAATTCACATTCCCGTCAAATGTAACTTTGGGACGGGCTGTGACAATCTTCCCCCTTATAGAATTTCGTCCTCGAAATTCATACAACCAAACAAACCATCAATAACCATAAAACAACCTCGGATACATCTCTCTCATTCGATCTTCCGTCTCCTAAGTAACTTCTTCCACTGAGTGGTTCCTCCACAACACTTTTACTAAGCTCACTGTCTTATTCCTTAGAACTTTATCTTTCCAATCCAAGATAGTCACTGGTTCTTCATCATACGTTAAATCCGGATTAATCTCCAGAGGTTGAGGAGGAATCACATGTGAAGGATCTGAAATATAATGTCGAAGCATCGAGACATGAAACACATTATGTACTTTGGATAACTCCGAAAGCAACTCTAATCTGTAAGCA